TTTAAAGGATGAAAGTTTCATTTTGGCCCATGGTTTTAGATTCCATAGTCAATTGGCCCCATTGCTGTGGACTTGGGTTGAGGTATTGGGTTGGTGGAGAGGGTATGGCAGAACAAAGTTACCTCATGGCTGCCAGGAATCATAGACAGAACAAGAAGGACACTAGGGAGAATATACACTTTCCAAAAGCCCATCTCAACAACCTACTGTCTCTAATTAGGGCCCACCTCTCATAGTTCCTATTATCTCCCTGTAGTCCATTCTATAATTCTATCAAGGGATGAATCCATTGATTGGGCCAGAGCCTTCATGATCTAAATTTCTCTCAATGATTGGATCTGCCATGTGGGCAGATCCTTTTGAAATGAACCTTTTGAGAGCACTATATCTAAAACTTACCAAAAGCTCTCATGACCAAACTAATCCATTCATGACAGATGACTTTTAGGATTCCCAAATATATATTAAGGGCCCTACTACTTCAGTACCATTTCATTGTGGAAACATTGTAGAAGCATGCGTCAACATGAGCTTTGGCAGGGACAAACCACATTTAAATCATAGTATTATACAAAGTAAGGGTCCACTTTCATTGTGTGTGTGTGTGTGTGTGTGTGTGTGTGTGTGTGTGTGTGTGTGTGTGTGTGCAGAGCCTGAGTGCTATCCTTGAGCTTTTTTGCTCCAGGTTAGTACTCTACTATTTGCTCTACTTCCAGCTTTTTCCATAGTTTGTTGGAAATAAGAGTCTCAAGGACTTTCCTGACCAAGCTGGTTTTGAGCTGCGATCCTCAGATCTTGGCCTCCTGAGTAGCTAGGATTATAAAAGTGTGAACACCAAGCTCACTTTCATTCTTTTGCATGTGAGTAATCAAATTTTCCAGCACTATTTGTTGAAAAGACCATTAAATGGTATTGTCTCTTGGGTCAAAAACCAACTGGCGGTGTTACTTCTAGGCTTCTGTTCTATTCTATTGGCTTACATTTCTGCTCTAATGCTAGTTGTGTAGTCTTTTAGGTATGTATATTTTGAGTATATTATGAAGTTCAGAAGAGTGAGCCCACCAATTTTATTCTTTCTCAAGATTGTTTTGGCTACTCAGAGCTCCCTTGTAACCCATAAGAAATTTGAAGATTAGCTTTTCCATTTTTGTCAGAAGCTATTGGAACTTTGTTAAGGTTTGTGTTGAATCTGTAATTAAACTTGTGCAGTATTGTCATCCTAACAATGTTGGGTCTTCCCGTCTTTGAATGTAGGAGCACTGGAGCACTGCAACAATTATGCTCCAGATTCTGGCCAGTGTGACAGCTGGGCCAAGGTCTCCAAGGCTCAGCTGAGCTCAGGCACCAAGGTCTCAAGGATACTCATGACACTGTCATGTCAATCTTCTGTGAGTGGTAAGATCTCTCTGGGCCAGTACACTAATATTAAGATAGTCAATAGTGAATGTGAGACTTCAGAATGCCAAAAATATTTGGTGAGAATGACTCAGAAATCAAGAAGCTACTTGTTGCAAATCAAGTATTGCAAGGCCTCCTCAACCAGGACAGCTTCTCATGGCCCCAACAAAAGAACTGTGTTAGGACATGTAGATAGGGTTAAGATTCCTAAGAGAGTGTTCGTGTGTGTATGTGTGTGTGTGTGTGTGTGTGTGTGTGTGTTTGTGTGCACGCGCGCTCATGTGTGCTTTACCTAGCGCAGGAGTGAAATACTTTGCAACCTGCCAGCAAGCTTGAAACAAAAGAGTGTGTGCAGCACACTGAAGATCCTCTAACAGACTGGCATTCTTGGTGCATCTGCAGGAGAGGATGGTCTAGCTTTGAGCAGGATCCCAAGCGTCATTCAGGGGTCACCAGGAATTTCTGTTTCCTCCGTCCTCACAGCTCTCCTTTCAAATCTACTGTCTGACAAGATTGTAGAACTTTTTCCTACTTCTGTATCAAGGGAAGAGCACATTGGTGATGTGTATCTGCCACCGGCAAGAACATGGCCCCTAGTAGCTATGACAGTACTATGAGCATTTTTCTTGCAGTTTTGCCTTCTTCTGCCTCTTCCTAGGCCAGAGGTATTCCCAAAAAAGGAATAATATGGTTTCTCACCTCCTGACACTCCCCCTCCCCCCCACACACACAAGAAAAGAACACTCTGGCCTGAAAACATATCTTAGAATCATCTAAGATTCCCTCTTCTGCCCAAGCACATGTGTTGCTCCCTCCTTAATACACAGAACATTGAGTACACCATGAGAAAAGGCCACAGGACTTCAAAACTGCCACAGTAACTACCAAGAAAAGAAATAAGTAGAGAAAGTTCACAAAATAAAGTGTGAGTGTGATGTCAGGCTCCAAGGCAACTTCCCCTGTGGCTCAGATGTGGACATGTTTTAACAGCCAATTCACTTCTATCATGGCAAAAAAAAAAAAAAAAAGCAACCTAGATCATTATACTTTAAATGGTTTTTCCACTGGGAATATTATGCCCTAGTGACAGTCTATTTCTACTCCTTCCATAAATCACCGGTGACTTCGCTCCATACTGTCCCTTTCCTCCAGGCTTTTGCCCTTCATACCATGCTCAGGTCACCTTATGGTTATGAATGACTAATAGCACTCCGATAATAAAAATTACTCTCTTATTGGCAACAGAATTAAACTTTTGAATCTCTGTATGTCATTTGAGGCTTCCTGCCAGTCACTTTCTGCTCTTTTTTTTTTTTTTTTTTTTGGTCCGGTCATGGGGCCTGAACTCTGGGCCTGGGCGCTGACCCTCAGCACTTCAGCTGAAGGCTAGCGCTCTACCAGTTGAGCCACAGAGCCACTTCCGGCTTTTTTTTCTTTTTCCTTATGTGGTGCTGGGGAATTGAACCCAGGGCCTCATGCATGCAATGCAAGCACTCTACCACTGAGCCACCTTCCCAGCCCCTGCCAGTCACTTTCTATTCATAACCCTTACTATGTCCTGACAGCCAGGCAGGACATGCCCTGAGCTGTGGTCATAGTTTCCTCCATATGAAATACTAATGTCGAATCCTCTGCTTTTCTGGCTCCTCCTATTCACACTTCAATCCTGGGTTCAAATTCCACTTCCTCTACTTCTGCCCACACTGATGTCTCTACTGTAAGTTCCTATCACATTCACTTTGGCAACTAATCAGGTGATTAAGATGTATATCCAGCTGGGCACTAGTGACTCACGCTTGTAATCCTAGCTACTCAGAAGGCTGAGATCTGAGGATGGAAGTTCAAAGCCAACCCTGGGCAAGAAAGTCCATGAGACTCTTATCTCCAATTAGCCACCAGAAAACTGGAAGTGGTGCTGTGGCTCAAGTGGTAGAGTGCTAGCCTTGAGCAGAAGAGCTGAGGGACAGCACCCAGACCCAGAGTATAAGACCCATAAACAACAACAACAACAAAAAGATGTATATCCAATTGAACTGTGTAGATACAGAGAATAAAATTAACTTCCTTCCCTGAAGAAAATTTTTCTGTTTTGCCATGATATTATATATGTTTCCTGAGGGCAAGCCTTGTTTCCACAATATTCTAATACTGAATACCAATATTCTAATATCTCGTGTGTGTGATTCAATTCACTAGGCTTCAGGTTCCTGTTTGGGAATTTCACTGGCTTAGCAATGGGACACAGAAGGTATATACTATGAGAAATGCTCATAGTACTGTCCACAACAAACCACATTCCCATTCATTCTTCAAGGATGTTACTAGGCTGCTGTGTACAATCCCAGGATTTCAGAATGAATAAATTGAATTCTCCTCTGCTGATCTCCCAGTTTTCTACCTGTGGGGTTAAGGTACCAATTAAGGATGGTAGCTGAAATGTAATAGCTAATTTGTTCTTAAATGATCAAAGGTAACAGAAATCATCTATTTTACCTAGTCTATGAGCTAGTCTCCCAGAGAAGAAATAAAAGTTACCCTAGTGAACTGCCCATCAGTAACAGAAAAAATGGTCTAACCCTGGCTAGACCCTTAGTTATGGGTGCTAACTGACTCAAGGTGAAATTTGAGGCATGCAAAGGACTGAGAAAGGGAAAAGTAGATTGTGAAAGGGAACTGCAGAAACTTCCTCTGGCAGCCAGAGCCATCAAAGAAGAACTGGATTCTTTTGTACACAACTAAAGACATGCCAAGCTAGTGGGTGTAAATCACAGACTTCACACACTCCTAGCAATAAAACAATACAAGTTTAAGGTTGGCATGTTGGGTTTCAGACACCTGCTTTCTCAGGTAACAGCTGGGACACCTGCTCTCTCAGGTAACCACAGCTGGGACACCTGCTCTGATATTCGTCCTCTCTCACACAGATCCAGAGCTGGATTTGTAGAAATGGGAACTACAATCTCTGGTTCCTCTCCATGGGGATCTGGGCTAAATTGAAAGGTTTACCAAAAGCAGCGCTGAGCAACTGGGCAAGGAGGGGCAGAGGAATTTCTCATGGACTCTGGGCCTGGGCATGCCTTGTCTCTCCCATCCTAACAGGAGAAATGTCCTGCAAATGACAAAGTCAAACCAGCCTCAGACAGATGAAGTTATAGCTAAAGTCTCTCATAGCAGCTCTGCGCCACGACTTCCACCCATCTCTTTCACCGTGGCGCTGGGCGGTGGCAGGGTGTGTTTGTGTGTGGGGGTGGGGGGCCAAATCTCCCCAACTTTCTTTGGCTCCTCCAGGCTCAAGCTCACGCCCCTCCTCTCTAGCTTCTCCTCCCCTCTTTCTCTCCCTCGCCCAGTCCCTCCCCCAGCCTTGGTGAGGGGGGCCGGGCTTGGCTCCGCCTGGCCCCGTGCATTCCTGAGAGCCAGGCCAGCTAGAGCAACAAAGGAGCGGGGTAGTCGGCGGGGAGAGCTAGGGGGCTGCAGCGCGCTTGGCGGCGGCGGTGGCTGGGCCGCGGGCTGGCCTGGGGGCGGAGTCGGGGTCCCAGTTCTGCACCCCGAGCAGGCGCGAGGCCTCCGTCGCGGGGCTGGAAGTTAGCTTTAGTGATAGAAGAGGGAATGGAGCTAAGGATTGGGGGCCTAGGGGGCTCCCAGGGCTGAAGACAACTTTCGATTGCCAGGAGAAGGAGTAGGGAGTTGTGCAACCTGGCTCGGGCCTCCGCTGCCCAACATGGGCCCCGGGTTCCAAACTTTGCGAAGTTGGGCGCTAAGGGGCCGGGGCGCGCGGAGCGTCCGGGGGAAGCCGGCCCCGGACTCGTGGGGTACTCAGGTCGCCTGAGTCGCCTCCGTGGCCCCCAGGGTTGTGCGTGTGGCCCGGGGGCTCCGGGGAGCGGGCAGGGGCGCCCGGGGCTTCTGCTGAGTTGGCGAGTTTGGCCATGGCCGCTGCCCGCCCAGCGCGGAGGCCGGAGCTGCAGCTCCTGGGGCTGCTGCTGCTGCTGCTGGGGGGCCTGGGTCGGGGGGCGGCCCTGAGCGGGAACAGGACCGGGCCTGAGTCGCGGATCGGTGGCGGGAACGCGAAGAGGAGCGCGGCGGTAACCGGCCCTCCATCCCTGCTGAGCCACTGCGGCCGGGCCGCCCCCTGCGAGCCACTGCGCTCCAACGTGTGCCTAGGCTCGGCGCTGCCCTACGGGGCCACCTCCACGCTGCTGGCCGGGGACTCGGACTCGCAGGAAGAGGCGCACGGCAAACTCGTGCTCTGGTCGGGTAAGCGCGTAAAACCTGGGTCTGAGATGGGGCGCTGAGATGGTGGGATGGAGATTTTGTTGGAAAGAAAAGGCTGAGGCCTGAACATCGGAGCGGGGGAGCTCCCCCCCCCCAACCCCCGCTCGGGGCAATTGGAGGAGCAATCTAGAACTTTGGTACTGGAGGGGACTCTCACGATGGGGAAGGGAGGACAAGGAAACTGAGGAAGGCTCTTAGTCACAAAGGGCCTAGACAGGGTGGGTGAGTAAAGAATGGATAGGAGAAATAAGAGGCCAAGAGAAGGGGACTCAGCCACTTTTTTTGGCAGAGAGGTTGCACCTTCTACAATCAGAGACCTCTGAATTCAAGGCCATGCTTAGACCTTGGGGAAATTGAAGTTGGGGAGAGGGGAAAAAAAAAGCAGGGGTGGGGGGATAAGGGTAGGTTGGATTTAAGTATTTGGAGATCGAAGGTAGTGGCAAGTTTGAGAAATCTGTAAAGGAAAAGAAACCCCCTTATGATGAATTATTAAAAGAAATTACCTGGAAATCTTGATTTAGAAGCTAAGTCTAGACAGAGAACCGTGAGTTCAGTCTTGCATTCACAAATTTCAGTTTCCTTGTCCGAAAAATGGGAACTCTCATCCTTACCGGGGTTCAGGAACAGAGCTGATTCTCATGGTTGTGTGTCTGGGGAACATTCAAGTGTGGGCTATTGAGGGTCAGTGGGTACTTCCACCATACTTGGAAGTCCTTTCCTTGGTGTAGAATAGTGGCAGAGGCAGGAAACTGTAGGCTGAACCCAAGCTGGTAATTCCTTAGCAATGTGGTAGAGTAGATTATCTCCCCATCTGTCAAGCTTTTGGACTAGAGGACTTGAAGGGAGCTGGGGAAGAGAACTGAGTTGCTATTGCTATGCCCAGCTAGTGTGATTTAAATATTTCATTGATTGAAAGGGAGAAGAGCTCTGAGAGCCACCTCCTTTTCACAGGCCTAAGCTATCTCTTGTCTTAGCTTCTCTTGGAACTAGTGAGGATTCTAACAGCTGCTTGTCATTGTTAACTGGGCGACCAGAGTGCTCAGCTTTTGCTGAATGTTGATTGGACAAGGCCATAGGTTGGAGGAGAAACTTGGAGGATGGTAACTATGTAGTGGAGCTTCATCCCATGTGGAGACCAAGCTCCAAAGCCAATAGGCTAGGCAGAACCCATGGGCACCAAAAATAGTTTTGAAAAACTCGTAAATCCTGCCATATAAGATCTGCAGGATTTTTCACACTTTATGATAGTATCTTTGCATAAATGTGTGACAGTAATGTATGACATAGATGAATGAGTATACATTAGAAATACAATTGTTGTCTTTAAAGTTGCACACCTGCGAAAGATTGAAAGAATGAAAATAAAACATGGGAAGGCAGATTTAGCAAGTTTTCTCTGAAATAAGACTTGAATTTAGGAACCAGCTATATGGAAAAATCTGAATCTCTCAGCACTAGAACTCATCCAGTTCTGCATTGCTGACATGATGAGAGGGTATTTATTTTGAGGAGTCCCAGGTTGAGTTCCCCTAAGTGACATGTTTTTGTGATGCTGCCCTCTGTAGCCACCATCAGATGAAGAGGAAGGGGGTGGACCTGTTTCCAGCCCACACTCCTGAGAGCAGCTGCTGGATTGGCATAAGTGGTTTTGGCAAACACATGCACGAGTTAGAACCAAATGAAAAGCCAAGGTGTGGTGATGAACACCTGTGATCTCAGCTACTCAGGAGGTAGAGACAAGAGACTCTTGAGACAGAGGCCAGCCCCAGCAAAAATAGCAAGATCTTGTCTCAAAAACAAAATATAAACAAAAGGGCTTGGCATGTAACTCAAGTGGTAGAGTGCTTGCCTAGCATGTTCATGGTTCTGGGTTCAATTCCTAGTACTGCAGAAAGAACAACCAAAAAAAAAGAACCATCTGCTGCTTATACGGGTTTAAGCCTCACCAGCTGTCAGAACAAGGTCCTGTGGAGGTGTATCACTGAGTCCAGGGTTGCTAAGTCATTCTGAGCTCTTCTCTGCTGCTGTCCACTGTCCCTTACCCAGTCTTATTCCCCTGTGTGTTTGGTACACTCTGTTCAGTGTTCTGCTTGGTGTTTTGTAAAGCAGGGCCAGAAGCAAGGGTTGGCACTTCCTAGATGAATAAATAGGTGTAGAACCTGAGCCACATACAAGAATCACAGGCTATCCTTTACTTGGGAGCCCCAGCTAGTGTCTTGTCCTGTTCTGAGTTAGTGATCCTGATTTGTTGTTCAGTGTGGTCAGTGTCAGCTAGCTCTTGTGGGTGTTTTGGAGGGTAAAGGATGAAGATTTAAGTTATGTTCATCTGTAAACTTTTTTTGGGGGGGGATCATGGGGCTTGAACTCTGGGCCTGGGCACTGTCCCTGAGCTCTTCAGCTCAAGGTGAGCGTTCTACCACTTGAGCCACAATGCCACTTCCAGTTTTCTGGTGGTGTATTGGAGATACACGAACCCTGCCTGGGCTGGCTTTGAACCACGATCCTCAGTTCTCAGCCTCTTGAGTAGCTAGGATTGCAGACATGAGCCACTGGTGCCCTACCATCTGTAAACTTTTGAGGGTAGAAACTTGGTCTTCATTTTTTTTTTCCTTCCTGAGCTCAGAGTGCTGAGTGTACAGCCATCCAATCACTTATTCAGCTTCGAATTGAGTGCTAGCTATCTTCCGCATGTTGGGACTGGTTCTGAAGTTGTACATACAGGCATGATCCCTCTGCCACCAAGCGGAGGATGGATAATTAAGCAGGCATTAGTGGTATCTATGAAAACTACTGTGACATTGTAGGTGTTGAAGGACCCCAGAGGGTTTTGAGGAACAAGGGAGGATTCCCGGAAGAACTGACATTTAACCTGGGACTTGAGAGAGAAGTAATCAAATTACCAAAAGAGGGCTGGGTAGGGAGGAATAAAAAGGGGAAACAGCACATACAAGGGTTTAGAGGTAAGAGGGCGTGGTGCTTAAAGTATAATAATTGCAGTGGGACTGGATCAAAGCATATGAGGGGTAGAATTGTAGGAGATAAAGGTTGAGAATTAGAAAGTAAAAGGATTCATACCTCATATTAAGTTTGGATGCTATCAGAAAGGATCCATTGAAGGCTTTTAAGCACGAAGAGATGTAATCATACTTTCATCATAGAACAATCTCTTCAAATGCTATATGATGAAGTTAGTAATATAGGGCCATGACTAGAGCTCACTCAATCCATCAGAATGTGGCTGGAAGATGATGGCGTCAGGATTGGAGTAACAACGTAGAGGGTTGCATGAATTCCAGAGTATCAGAAAGATTATTGGATAGAACATAGATGATCAAGACAACCTAGATTTTTCAGACATTCCTTCCTATTAGGATAAGAATGGTGATGAAGAGGTGGGTTTAAGAAGAAAGCATGGGCTGGGTGCCAGTGGCTCATCTGTAATCCTAACTTCTCAGGAGGCTGAGATCTGAAGATTGCAGTTCAGTGCTAGCCCAGGCAGGAAAGTCTGTGAGACTCTTATTTTCCATTAACCACCAAAAAGCCAAAAGTGGAGATGTGGCTCAAGTGGTAGAGCACTCGCCTTGAGCTGAAGTGCTCAAGGACAGCACCCAGGCCCAGAGTTCAAACCCCATGATGGACAAGTAATAGAGCACCAGCCTTGGCCAGAAAGCTAAGAGACAGGGCTCAGGCCTTGAGTTCAAACCCCAGTTTGGGCCAAAAAAGAACAGGCTGGGTACCAGTGACTCACGCCTGTAATCTTAGCTACTCAGGAGGCCGAGATCTGAGGATCGAGGTTCAAAGCCAGACCAGGCAGGAAAGTCTGTGAGACTCTTATCTCCAATTAACTACCAGAGAACCGAAAGTGGTGCTGTGGCTCAAGTGGTAGAGCTGTAGCCTTGAGCTGAAGAGCTCAGGGCCAGCACCCACGATGGACAGAGAGGGGGGGGTGAGGGCAAGGACAAAGAGGAAGCATAGATTCAATCTTAGCTGTGTGAACTACAGATGCTCATTGCTCATTGGATACCTACGTGGAGATTTCTAGAACATCTAAAACTAGGATGTGCCATAGAGAGGTGGTTACTGTGTGCTTCCTTGGCCCAGATTGCTGAGATTTGGAAGGATGCCATAAGGGAAGTTTACAGCTCAGCTGGTCCAATTTCTAGGTCTCTCTACAACCCAGATCTCTTGTTTTTCATCTCTGTGGACTTGGGCTTCTTTAGTTACTTAGCATCTCTCCCCATTCCAGCTGGAAATGTCTCCTCCCAGGCATTCCAAGTCGACCAGACAAACATAATATCCAAGGCCATGGTCTGCTGTTTGCCAAATCTGGTTTAATAAATGGGAAAAGAAAGCAAGGAAGAGAGGCCTGAAGCTGGTGAGGGAATAGGTCCCTGAGCGGCAGCACGTAGGCTTCTGACTGCTGCTCTGCTGTGTGCACATGGGTGTGTGGCTCTGTCACTCATCCGGGGCCCAGCCAGGCCCAAAGAGCTGGAAGAGCTGGAAGGAATTTCTTATTTGCTTCTCAGACCTCAAATTGAGAGGTGAGATGAGGAATGTTGTTGGTGAAAGTGAGTAGTATTTAGGAATGATCAGAAAGAATTTCCTTAAAGCTGTTTCCAAATCTGGCTAATGATTAGAATATATATGGAGTATATGTGTGTGTAATATATACATCTATGTATCTATATATCTGTATTTTATATATATACTTTTAGACTTTAACATATATGAAATATATATCTATATGTTATATATTTCCATATATGTGGAACTTCTATACATATGATAGCTATAGACATAAAGGTACATAGGTAAGCTATATATAGATAGATGTATAGATATGTATACTATATATAGATGTATATTTATATATACATATATATATATACTATATCTATATGGAAAATATATAGAGAAGAAAACACTCATAGGTCCAAGCTTTCAATGTTTACTTTCCATTTCCAACCTTTTCATTGCAAAGT